TTCAGTCCTTATCAAGCTTAATCTATAGGTTCTGAATGAAGAGTCAGAATAATCAAAGTGAAAAATGGTACAGTAGAACCCCAAACAATTTTGATGTGGGCAGAGTACTATATATATTTTGAAGCTCTTGAAAGGGGAATCTTTGTGACAACAGGCATTGTTAGGAAGAGTATCCTGAAGACTATTTGTTTTAATAATTGATCAATTGTATTATTCAAAATAAAGTTGACATATCCTTGTGCTTTAGAGTATGTTACTAAGAAATTCCTTTCTACAGTACCATTTTGGATTGTGAAGACAACAAAGGAAGAGTATTGAATCAGGGAACTGCTTTACTCCTTGCCCCAGCCAAAAGATTATTAGTCATCTTAACCAATGTTGCTACTGCATGATTGCTTTCTTATTCAAGACTTGTGTGATCTTAGCTTCCAAAAAGAAAATAATAAAGGCAATGAGTCCTTGAATTCTAACTGACAGGGTAAGATCCACTCAGCAAGGATAAATGATGTAGCCTTCATTTTAAATGTGAAGAAGGCATTAGTAATCCTAGGTGGTAATAGAGTCACAGGAAAAATAAATTAGCCTATCTCAATTCTCCCAAAACAGCCCTGAGCAGATTGCATCATTAACCTTAAAATAAACAAAGCAATTTTGGTGACAAATGGAAAAAGTGACTTGAGCATCTCTGAATGCATTATGGGTTATAAGGGACACAGCCTGCTGAGGAGCAGTTCCAGGAGCAATGAATTATTCCCAAAAGAGGATATAAGCAATGTCAGAGGTGGGTAGCTGTATGTAAATTTAACCTTCCTGATACTGGCTTTAGAGGACCATGACTAACTCTGCAGCAGAAGCTTGATGGACAGGATGCTGTGCCTGGACAGCTGTTCTTTCTGCTTTTTTGCTTGGACCCGGACACAGTTAATTAGCAGTCTCACAGAAAGTCTGATGGATTAACACTATATTCAGTTGGCTGACCAGGGAGGAATTACATGATATTATTCACTACGTACTTTGGTTTTCCCAAGAAGATCACCTATAGCACAAATACAAAAATATAACCATAAACCTGGATCATTTTGATAGTTCCACTGAGCTCCAAGGCAAGGATCAAGTACTGGCGTTTTTCCTGAGTTTTGAGAAAAATCAGGCGTTTCAGCCAATGCTCTTCCTCTTTCCAGTCTTTCCCTTCTGGCAACGCTTTCATCTCTTGCCCACTGCCGAAGTCCCAGATTTTAACTGTCCCTGAGCACACAAGGAAAAGACTCCATGAATAACATAATTTGTGGAAAGCTTGGCTTTTAACTCAGAGCAAGCTGATCTGATTGAAAGCTGTCTGCCAACAATTTATCCTACATTTATTTCTTACTAAGATTGATAAGTGAAGCTCCCCAGGCTTGCTATGTATGAAATATATTTCTGTATGCCTTGATTTGTCACAGGCTGATAAAACCCCAATAGGATATGGCAGAGTCTCTAAATTTATGACAGTTTTTATTATGGTTTGGAGAAGTGCCCCCCGCCCCGAAGGCCCATGTGTTGAAGACTTGATCTCCAACTATGCTACTGGGAAGTGGTGGAACCTTCAGGAGATGGGATCTGGGGAAAGGAAGATAGGTCACTGAAGGATGCCATTGAGGGAGACTGTGGGACTCTGGACCCTTTTGATCTCTCTTTTTCTCTTCCTGGATGCCATGAGGTGAACAGCTTTCCTCTAACACATGTTCCTGCCATGATGTCAGCTCGTTCACCACAGTCCCAATCGAGCAACCATGGACTGAAGTCTCCAAAACTACAAGCCAAAACAAAACTTTCCTCCATATAGGTTAATTATTTCAGGTGTTTGTTACAGAAACAGAAAGCTGTTTTCTGTGGAAACCCTTAGACTCTTATATTTGAGTTTCCTTTCTG